CCATGTTGGACGTTTCTACCTTATGCATCTTCAGCCAGGAGTGTACCAGTCTTGGCTCCTATTTTTAAAATTTCCTTTGAGGCTTCTGCAGTGTTTGTTTTTATCCTCCTGTTTTGTATTATCTGCAAACTTAACTTGCGTACTAAATGTCCCAGAATCTAAATAATTGGTATATTTTAGGAATTATACTGGAATTTAGAATAGTGGTGGTCCTAATACAGATCACAGTACAATACTGAATTCATTACCCCAAATGGAGAATTCATCTGTTATCTCACCTTACCTATAGACCAGTCTTACACCTATTACTAATAGAGTTATGAGATTGACAGAGCTTAACTAAAAGAATGTTTGCCAAAAAATAGTATTTTCAGAGTCAGACTGAGCACTGAACACAACACTCAATGTGGATTTAGAAAGGATGGTCTTTAATTTATTAGAATACTTTGAATGAGAAAAGAGTACAGTTGATAACTGTATAACAACATATTTATTTAGATTTTAAAATAGTTTTGATAAAGGCCCTCATAAAAAGTTAATTCTCAAATAAGTTGTAGGAATACACGGTAATGTATAAATGTGTAATTGGGCTATTGTGTGCAGTGGTGTACTGCAGGGATCTTATGCTGATTGTTCTTCCTGATCCATATCAATGAGATTCTAGTTAGTAAACTCGTAAAATCTGTGGATGATTCAAATATACAGTAGGGAGAGTGGTGAGCTCCAGAAGTAGCTGGAAAGGACTCGTAAAAACACTTAGACAAAATCATGGATTGGGCAGATACTTGGCTGATGAAATGTAACACTGCCTGACAAAGCGCAAAGTAATTCACACAGGAAAAAAGGAACGTGCCCTATGCATGATTGACTCCAAGCTGCATGAAAGGCATCCGGGTGTTTATAAAGATACTTTGGTGCCCTTACCAAGACTATCGATGCGGGGAAACAAATAAAACAGGGTATTTAGAAGGAAATGTGGTTTAGGTAAATTGAATTTTTGCTCAGGCTTTACAATACATTAGTTACTATATACATCCATCCCAAGGGACTGTGTCAGTCAGTAGCGAAAGAAGGACTCATAGTCACAGCTGGAACATAAGAAATCGTACAGATGAGGAGGAAGCCATTTGGCTTATTTGGTTTCTAGTAGTTCAGTGACCTGAGCATCTTGCCCATTCATTCCTTGAAGAAAGCCAAGGCTTTGTCCAGACATAACTCTTTGATGGCTAAGATTCACAAGATCCCATCCTCAGTTTTAAATTCACCCACAATTAGTTTTCATTTTTGTTTCCGTACTTTATGATGGAAACTAAAGGAATGTGCATTTTAAACTGAGCAGGAGAAACCTGAAAGGGAATTCTTATTGGAAGGAGAAGAGGAGACATTTTGTGTGGGTGTCTGGGAATGGTTTCTCATCTGAATGGTGGAGCAACAGGACTAAATTTTAGATGTACTACACTGATAAACTAAAAATAACAAATAATCCACATGGACCACATGCCTTTGTCTCTTTGCAAGCTTTCTTATTTTCTAAAATGTGAGGGACAGA